TGAGAGTTTTTTTGACAGTGGGCACATGTGCTCACAAGAGAGATATAGAGATACAGAGAGAGAGAAGCAGAGAAGAGAGAAAGTGAGAAAGCACTCCCCAGCGGGGATGGCCACAATGTAATCCCTTTTCTATTCTCTTCTTGGATTTTGGCCATGTACACATTTATACCTGGTGTGTTTTCAAGCTCCCAGGTTTAGGACTCTAACCATGTAGTTGGCCATGTAGGATCCAGCTGCCTTAACCTCCACACCACTTCCTGCCCCCAGCCCATTTTTTAAAATTTAATGTTCTCTTGAATAGGACTCTCTAGTCAGAAACCTGCCTGACATAGCATAATCCTATTAAAACATTTTGGTGGGGACAGCAGGTGGTGTGGTGGTTAAGGTGCTGGACTCTCACAGGACCAACTGAGCTTAGAGTCCTGACCTGATGGCTTGAGAATTATGCTAGATGTGTGTGCATGCATGATGCCCAAAATCCTGAGAGAATGGAAGAGAAGGGATTGTGGCATGGCCATCCTCCCCAGGTGTGATTTCTCACTTTCCCTCTCTCTAACTCTCTCTGGAAAGTGCACACTCACTATGGCAAAATTAAAGAAGAAAAAACAACGTTTTTTCATTTAGGACACTTATTAGCATTCGTGAATTCATTTAATGGTTTTGCATACCTGTTTTCAAAGCTAATGAACATTATTTTATAGGACAAATTTTCTCTCTGAGTCTAGCACAGTATAAAGCAACTTTCAAAATAAATACATTAAAAGAGTTGAAGGAAAAATGTGTCTCCTTTAGTGCCAGTGTCTTACTATTTTTATAAATATGGAGTTTTCACTCATCAAGAGGTTATTACAATAGTAGAAATGAGCCAGATAAAAATGCAGACATAGTCTGTTTTTAAATTAAAAAGTTTTATTCATGAAAAGAAGATAATGTATATAAACAACAAAGAGAAAACTAATGTAAACACTCTCCATATATTTTTAACATATAGAACATGGTTGATATCTTTGATTTGACTGTATTCATATTCTTTCACTTTCCTCACATTTTAAAATTTCATATTATGATTCTTGCTTATGTTTTTAATTTTGTTTTATAAATATTTTATATTTATAAATCTTTTATTAATTTCATATATTTTATCCATTATATTTCTTCTATTTTATATATTACTATACATGTACTTCTAAAATATATCAAGTTTTTTAAGAACTTAAATCCTATAAAAATGTCATCACAGTGTATGTATTCTTCAGCTGACACATAACACTGTTTCAGAGGTTCATTGTGTTTGATGTCTCTACCTTTTATGAGTAGCTCTATAGTTCACTGCCACCGCTGTATAGTATGCCATTATATAGTACACTCTAACTTATTTTCTTACATCCATGCATGTTGTTTTTAGGTTTGGGGAGGGGGATGCCATTATTAGCATTGCTGCCCTGCAGACTTCATTCTTAGACATAGTTCTTGCGTGTGTTCAAGCATATATATATATATATAGTATTTTCTCAAGTGTTAATGTTGAGTCAGAGTGAATATACTTCAACTTTACAAAATAGGTAGTTATTATACCAACTTACAGTCTCTATTTTACCTAGTAATGCATCTAGGTAATGTCAAGCTTTCTCATTTCTCAGCAAAAAAAAAAAAAAAAGATTCTCATGGGTATAGAATACCTTATCATGCGACCTTAATTTAATTGTTTGGGCTTTACTCACTTTTGTTTAATATCATAATTAATAGCATTGTTCAATAACATAATTATCTCATACACATATATTTTACTTCTGAATTTTGAAGGGTCTTAATTTATTATTTACTATCTCTGCAGACTTAGTTCTTGGTGTCTTTATGGGTAACTCACATCTGGCTATTGTTAACTGATGACAATCCTGAAGGAGCTGTCCTGAGGATGCCTTTCTGCAGACAAGACCTGCAGACAGGGACACTTGTCATGTTTCTGACAGTTTAGCACTGTTTGATGCAATGTATCCAACATCTTGGTACTTCATGTCAAGATGATTTTAGGTGTATCAACCTGAAAGGACTTTAAGTTTCCAGTTTTGAATTTCTCCAGCTGCAGAATTTAGTCAGATCTCAGACACAAATGAGACCCGTGTGGCCTCCAATTACCAGGAGATACCAGCATCATCATGATTAATATTGATAGTGTTACTATTACCATTTTCCACCTTCATATGGGAGAGACAGAGGTTTCCAAAAGGTCTCCTGGCCAGCAGGTAGCACAGTCTTTACCAAAGGGTGTAGCACTGGGAGGAATGCAGGGTCTCACATCTTGCCCCAACCGCCCCTCAGTGTGTGTCTGTCTAATCTCTACTTCTGAGCACCATAGCCCCAGAAGCCACTAGGCCCTAGAGCTCTAGGTTTCAGTGGATAACACTTGCCTCCAGAGTTGTCCAAGCTCACCTACTCTTTTGTTTGCTTTCTGTAGATTTCTGTGTGTGTTTGGCACAGAGACAGTTGTCTTATGTTTCTGACAGGTTAGCACTGTGTCTGGAATAGTCTGATGTAATGGATCCAACATCTTGGTACTTTATGGCAAGATGATTTTTATTTTATTTTTCATGTGGAGCCAGGCAGTGGCACTAAGGTGATGCAACTGGACTCACATAAGAAAGATACTGGGTCTGTATTAGAATTCACTGAGCACACTGGGCATACACAGATGCCTGTGATCCAGGCCAGCTGAGACCGGGGGGTGTGGGCGGATTGTGGCGTGATGAACCTGTTGGCAGTCACTCTTTCTCTAAGAAGACAGAAAGAAAATTTTCAAAAAGAACATTTAACCTGCTGCATTGCCTGAAGCAGAACTATGGAATAATTTTAAAATATACTTCTGAAAGTATTTGATCTTCAGAACAAAACTGAGTGAACACAAGCTATGAAAGCTCTTCAGTCAAAAGTCTTAACTCAAATTATTCTTTGCGTGTGTATGTGTGTGTGTGTGTGTGCGTGCACGTGTGCAGCATGTTTGTGTGTAGTATCAGAAAAGTTCTCTCCATGTTGAAGGATACAGTCTTCCAGTCTCAACTTGGACCAAATTTATGTACCATTCTGCCTGTATTTTCAAGTGATTCTTAAACTTTGGAATTATAAGAAGGCCACACATCTCTCTTTCCCAACAAAATCAATATGCATACAACATATATAACTTGTACTTGATGTCATGGGCTTTCATGGACACCTGATCAATAACTTGATCAGTACTGGATCAGAGTTGCACAGAATGAAAGAACAAGGAAAGCCTTGATTTTGCAATTAGTTGATCCAGCTTAAAATATTGACTTAATGCCATATCTCAAGCATCAGAGTCCAAAACATGGATGGACATAACTCTTGATTTTTTTCTTTACCTCGCTGTTAGGCTCTTCATTTCTGGTTATGCCCCAAATCTTTCAATATTTACACCATACCTCCAGGCATTTTCAGATTCACCTTGCACATGATGCCAATGTGATCCCTGTAAAACCCAGAACCCATTAGCTCCACTGCATGTCACTTTATTACATCCCACTCATGCCTGTGGTCACCACGCTGTTTTATAGCCTGAGGACTTTGTTCTCCCACACACCTACCATGGCTTTCTGTCTCTCTTAGTAATTCGATATGACTTAGTCCAGCAAACATCATTTCCAAGAAGCTTTTCTAGATCTGGTCTCTCCTCTTCCTCTACTCACCCATGAAAACCTCTTCCTACATTGGTAACACACTACTTGAGTCCTTCATTGCACTTGCCACATGACTTGGAAATCATCTCTTTATCTGTCTGCCTCCACTATGAAACTTACAGCTCTTAGAGTGAAGAGGTGGTACATTCTTCTCTTATATGGTCTGTTGATGTTTGCCCTGGTATACCTTTCCACTCGTTGTAAGCTACGCTATAGGCCAGAGGATGGAAGGTTATACACATGATTCTGAATGGGAGAGGTCTGCCAGTGAGAGGCACTTGAACAAGGGATGCAACAGTCATCTTATTTCACAATGGCAGCTGCTAAGCAAGCTTTTAGATGAAAGCCTATCTGTAGCAGTGAGTGTCTGGACTCCGTCTTCCTCTTCCTAGGTGCCACTTAGGAGGTCAGAGATCTCTGGAACAGCAGCAGCAAAGGTGACACAGTAGTTTCTTGACCTCAAAATCACATGTACATAAGTGTGACCTCAAAAACAAGAGCTCTGTAGCAGTCTTCCCATAACTTCCATTGCTCCAGCTCTTCCAATGTGGTTTTAAACACCAACTCCTTATATTAACTCAATTTTCTTAAGTATCAAGAGAAATTTCTGTTTTGTGTTCTGAATCGTGAGCCAAACTGTGCCTGATACATTTTGTATATTCTTAGCATTTTGAAAATGTGTGTACATGTCCCAGAACAGAGCTAGGTGACTATTCATTAAGTGCAATAGGCTCTGATAGTTACTATTTAAGTAAACTATCTTCTCTCAGTCACAATTCCCAAATCTTTAAAATGGGAACAACTTTTAATAGGATTATTAATAGCCAACAATATCTGTTAACTATTGCATGCACCTCCTAGACACAAGGCAATCACATTCACTTTCAGCTACACTTTACAAACATGGAAATGACTGTGCAAATAATTTCAAAATATGATTTAATGATCAGTTATTTGACTGAAATAGCATTTCATAGAGCAAAATAATTATCAAAAATAATAGCATATGATATGCTGATCTCTGACTCTGTAGGGCATACTTCTCTTCATTGGAGACAATTTAAAAGCTAATAAAATTTCTGTCTTCCAAAAGCTTTGCCATTTCACCCACTCCTATTTCTTTTTTTTCTTTTCCCTGAGCAGAACACTTTGAGCTTGATGCACAGATTGTCTTTCCTGAAAGCTTCAGTTAGTGGGAAGTTGGCCCACAAAGGTTCTGGTGGAATTCAGCAATTCTACAAACTTCTGTTGACAATATATTCAAATACATATCCCTCTTTAAGAGAAGATGGATATAGAAGTACCTTCCGCATGCAATATGTGAGTTTCCTCAAGAGTAGTCTGCCATCGAAAATCATTGCAAAATGAGGGTCAATCAAGGCCAATACTCTATTTTCTCACCATTGGCACTATAGATACTACATATGGAGAAAATATATTTATATGAATTATATATAAACACACACATAAGTGAATTATTCATTTATTTCTAGCAAAAGCATGTTTGTCTCAAATATTCAGCTATTCAAAAAGAAAAAAATGGAGATTAACATATTTCTCACATTTTTAAATTATTTTTTGCCTTGATGTTCACCATACAATGCATGTGCTCACCAGAGTGAGTCAGAGAGAGGGAAAGTGAGAAATCACTCACCAGCAGGGATGGTCATGCCTTAATCTTTTCTTTCCCATTCTACTCTTGGGATTTTGGGCACTCATGCGCACACACACACACCCAGTATGATTTTCAAGCTGCCAGGTCTGCAACTCCAACCATGATCGGCCATGTGGGAGTCCAGTGCCTTAAACTCCACACCACCTGCTGGCCCCATAGTTATTTTTTAATAAATAGGAAATGAGATTAAACTATCTACAGTGTATCTGCCCATCTACCAAAAAATGTGAGCATTTTTTTGCTTTTTATATTATTATATTTATTTACATTCAATTAGTGTACATCAATACAGCATACCAACTGGTTTTTCTAAGCATGAATAGAATATGTATTAGTCTAGTCTGGAATATTGCCATATAGATTTCATCAACAGATACCTTTTCATTTTGTGTCTCTTAAATTTTATCTTTGCTGTCCTGCTTTCCTGCATGACAGTTACCTCTTTTGTTATTTTTTATAGATATTTTCTTTAGTACAAAATGCAAAGTAAACATAGTGTTTATGCTTTAGTTTTGGAGGAGATTCTGTATGTGTGTAGGCACAGAAAGACATCACATTGCATAAATGTGTGCTTTATTTTGGGGTTATGATCTGTAGCCAATTTTCAGTATTGACTTGAATGGAATGAACTTATCTAGTCCCTATCAGACAACTAGGTTGTGTTCAGCTACTATTATCTAGACTTATATGAAATTCTACATCGCTTGAAGATTTATTTTTATTATAATTTACTTATTTTCTACTGGCCCCCATTTTAAAATTAATTTTGATAAAATAATTGTGTTTTGGGCCAGCTCTGTGGCTTGGTGGTTAAGACAGCTGAATCCCAGATGGCCCACTGAACAGTTTGAGGCCCAGACCTAATGGCTGAGAAACATGCTGAGCACATGCATGTGCATGCCCAAAATCCTGAAAGGAGGAAGAAATGGAGAAGGGATTACAGCATGGCTACTCCTTATGAGGACTGCTTTCTCCTCTCCCTCTTGTTAGGCCGTGCTTGAACAAGTGGAAAAACAGATAACATGCTGAGCCATCTTGCCATTGTGTTCTCAGCCACCGCATTGCTGTTGCTCTCCAACACCAGCACCGCCTCAAACTCGCCTAGCTCCAGGCTCAGAAGGGGGCTAAGTAGGGAGGTCTCTTTTTTTTTTTTTTTGGAGAGATTTTCACTGTAGGGCGCGTGCGCTCGCCAGACAGACAGAGAGAGACATAGAGACAGAAAGCGAGAAATCACCCCCCAGGGGGGATGGTCATGCCACAATCCCTTCTCCTCCATTCTCCTCTCGGGATCTTGGGCACGCACACACACGCGCCCGGCGTGAGTTTTAAGCCACTGGGTCCGGGACACGAACCGTGGTCGACTACGTGGGAGTCCAGCAACATAGCCATTACGCTAACTGCTGGTTCCCAGTAGGGAGGTCTCTTTACCATGGCTCATCAAAGCAGACAGCCCGCAAATCCACCGGTGGTAAAGCACCCAGGAAGCAACTAGCTACAAAAGTCGTTCGCAAGAGTGCGCCCTCTACTGGAGTGAAGAAACCTCATCGTCACAGGCCAGGTACTGTGGCACTCCATGAAATTAGACGTTATCAGAAGTCCGCTGAACTGCTCATTCGCAAACTTCCTTTCCAGCGTCTGGTGCGAGAAATCGCTCAGGATTTCAAAACAGATCTGCGCTTCCAGAGCGCAGCTATTGGTGCTTTGCAGGCGGCAAGTGAGGCCTATTTGGTTTGCCTTTTGGAAGATACCAAACTGTGTGGTATCCATGCCAAACGTCTAACAATTATGCCAAAAGATATCCAGCTGGCACACCGCATACATGGAGAACGTGCTTAAGAACCCACTACGATGGAAAACATTTCATTCTCAAAAACAATTTTTTTTTTCTCTTTTTCCTGTTATTGGTAGTTCTGAACGTTATTTTTTTTTTCCCATGGGGTCAAAAGGTATCCAAGTATATGACTGCAAGTGGAAAATAGAGGCCAGAAATCGGGTATTGGCAGTTTTTCCATTTTTATTTGTGTGTGAATTTTTAATATAAATGTGGGGATGTAAAGCACTAGTGCAAGTCAGTATGTTTCAGTGAACAAGTTTCAGTAGTTCAACTTTATAATGATTATAAATGAACTGCTAAATTTTTCTGAAAAAAAAATAGATACCAGATAGATCAGCTAGACATAGATAGATAAATATAAATTGATGATATAGACAGATGATAGATGCAGATAGATATAGACAGGTAGGTAGGTAGATAGCTATAGATAGACAGAGACAGGTAGAGATAGATAGATATTAAAATAGTAGTATTACAGGTAATATTGTCAGGTTTGTGAATAGTATAAATCAAAACAATATCTGAGGCAATCAGGTATAGACACAAATGAGAACAAAACAAACTTTTCCATCATTCTCTGAGATTTAAATACACAACTTTGATCTTGTTTCACACGTAAAACTGTCCAATGTCCCCACTTGTGTTAAGTAGTGTCCTTAGGAGGCCAGCAGGTGGTGTGCTGGTTAAGGATGCTGGATTTCCACATGGCCAACCCAGTTCGAGCCCTGGACCTGACCGCTTGCTTTATCACTTTCTCTCTTTCTCTCCCTCTCTTGATCTGTCCCTCTCTGGTCTAAATAAAAAAAATAAATAAAGTTAAATAAAATAATGCTTTTTAAAAAAAGGCAAGTCCTTAGTAAGAACATAGGTAGAAAATTACTATTTGGAATTAAGTCTATAAGCTTTTTTTCCCTCTCTTTTTCATAGTTTTTAAACAGTTTCAACTAGTATAAGTGCTATAGAAAAATGCATATATAATAAATTAAAGCATCCAGCACCTAGAAAGTTTATTTTTAATTCCATATCTCTGTCCATGAAGTTATACTAAGATCCAAAACAGGGCATTATAACTGTCTTTCTGTATCTGTGGAAGAATAGTTTAGGAACCCCCAGGGATACCGATATCAATGGATGCTTAATCCCCTTGTACGAAACACTGTGGTATTTGTACATAACCTATGCACATCCTTCTGTGTGCTTTAAATCCCCTTTACCTCCAATACCTAATACAGTAATGTCTATGAAAATAGTTGCCATACTGTATTTTAAAATTTGTATTCCATTTTATCACTGAACATATGGTTATTTTTTTAATTTTTTTCTACCAAGTATATTGATTCCATGTGAAACCTATGGATGCTTTTAAAACACATTTATTGTCAAAATTTTGAATATGGAGGAAAAATTAGAAAGCTATTCTTGTGATCAGCAGATGGTATAGTGGTTAAGGCACTGGACTCCCATGTGGTCAACTGCAGTTTGAGTCCCATTTCCAGTAGCTTGAAACTCATGTCAGGTACATGTGCATGCATGCCCAAAATTCTGAGAGGACAACAGAGGGGAAGGGATTGTGGTGAGGTCATCCACCCTGGGGGGTAATTTCTCACTTTCTGTCTCTCTGGTGAATGCATGTACCTTACAACAAAAATCACTAAAACAATAAATAATAAATAAATAAATAACTCTTAATCTTACAAACCAGAGTCAACAGCAGTACTCAGAGCATCTCGGTGTGTACTTCCGATTTTTCTCAGGTAAATTTTATATAAATGACATGAAATTCTCTGTAGTGGTTTGGCATTATAATAATAGCTATTTTAAATGGCCAATAGATGTACAACATACACAATATTGCTCACTTTGAAAGTGTGCTTTGGTGTAGAAAATACAATTGATTCTTGTAGTTACTGGTACACCTGGTTCCCTTAGGAGCATCATAACTTGTCTCCTTCACATGTGTTTATATGTACTAAGTTTGGTTTGTATTAAATGCTAGCATTATGTTTTTTTCTAAATATGTCTTTTGGGAGGTATCTTTTCTGGCTAGTACAATAGCATGTGTATAATTGGTATCATCTTTCAAAATGTTGAATTAGCAATATGTATACATGTCCTGCCAGCTTCTAGAAGAGTCAGATTCCTGAAGGAGTTCATGTTTTTCCTAGTCCAAATGCTTTCTCCCATCCTCCATAACTAACCTCCTGAGCAGAATCTGGAACTGAAAATCATGGTACTGTAACTGTGATCCCACATATTCGGTCTCATGAGTGGACAGGCAGAGCCAGGGAAATCATTCACTTGTTTTCATGAGAGAAACAAAGATTTTTACCCAAATATTCCAACTAATGTCTTCTGCCAGATTGAGATGAGACAGCCAGGAAACTATTTAATTAGCAGCTAATTGGAATGTCTTTTTCTGTGCTTGTCTTATAACTGGTAATGAGCCATATTCAAATGAATGCAAATAACAGATTGAAAACAAAGATCCTGACCCTCATACGGAGATGAGTTTAAACTGAGATTGTACAGCGGTAGGAAGATATTTCACCTCCATCATCTTAACTTTTAACTCTTCATTAAAATCTCATGCTTTCCAGGCAGGTAGACACACTCTGGCAGATGCAAAGAATTGTGTAGAAGCAAGATTTCATCTGCTAAAAATAATGGCTCTGATGTATAGAAAAACAACAAGGAGTACCATTTTCTAAGAGCAGTTTATTTAAGAATTAAAAGTTTGTCATCGGTGAAAGAAAAAAAATTAATTGAATGGTTTTTAAAAAATGAACAGTTGATTCCTAGTACAGGAGACAAATCATCCTCCAAAAATAAATAACAGTGTTGTAAAGTCAGCACTTGGTAAAGCTTTCTAGTGATGAGCAATCTCTGAAACAAAATTCATATAAATCACATATTTAAGTGTTTGTGATTCTGTTGAAAACATTATCTACATTTTTAAGAGTTATTTTATTTATGTATTTACTTATTTTTTAAATTTTATCATAGATAAAGAAAGAAAGAGGGAAAGTGAGACAGCAAGCTGACAGGTCCAGGACTCAAACCACAGTCAGCCATGTGGGAATTCGGCATCTGAATCAAAAATTAACAAGTGAAGGTTTCGTCTCCTTATCCAAAAAGTCAGGAGAGTATCTACATTTTAATGTATTAAGAAAGTAGTATGGATTTATCATGATGGATCATCTAAAAGAGCAATTAGAGAGTATCTTAAGTTCTCATTAATATGTGACTTTTAAGTAAAATTCCTTTTAGAATGCTCAGTTTTTAAAATACGAATATATTTTGAAATAATTCTGACCTCTCAAATGCTGAAATCCTTTTTTGTCTTTTTCTTTTTTGCTAGAGGTACATGTGCCTGATTGCCTGCCAGAGAGAATGAGAGACAGAGATATAAGGAGAGAGAGGAGAAAGCAACCACCTGGGGAACGGGCACAGCGTAATCCCCTCTCCTCCACCTTTCCCTCCTTTAAGGATTTTGGGCACGTGCACAAATGCTTGGTGTGTTTCTCAGGTCTCAGAACTTGAATCACACAGTCAGCCACATGGAATCTAGCTGCCTTAGCCACCATGTCACGAAGTCAGCCCCCAAAATTTTTTAATTGAAATATATAATAAAATGTAGATAACCTTTTAAGTTTGAATTTTATTTTTTAAAAATTCACCTATTCTTGGGACCATCAGTTAGCGTAATAGCTAAGTCGCTGGACTCCCATGTAGTCGACTGCAGTTCGCGTCCCAGACCGGTGGCTTAAACTCACACCGGGTACGTGTGCGTGCGTGTCCAAGATCCCAAGAGGAAAATGGAGGAGAAGGGATTGCAGTGTGGCCATCCCCCCTGGGGGATGATTTCTCGCTTTCTGTCTCTCTGTCTCTCTCTGTCTGTCTGTCTGGCAAGCGCACGCACCCTATAGCAAAAACCTCTAAAAAAAAAAAATTCACCTATTCTTTCCATAAGCAAGAGAAACATAGCAATGGAGGGAGAGAAAGAGCAGTAAAGCCAATGCACCAGGGTTCCAATGCCACAATCCACTCCCAGCCCCAGCCAACTGTATTATGGGTACACATGTGCTTGACGTGCTCAGGAAGATCTCTGGCTGTGAACTTGCCACCCTTTCCTGTGGGTCAGTCTCACAGTGTCATATTTTACCATGTGCCACCATCCAACCCAAGGTTCAGTTTTTAAGCTTAAAATTGGTGTATCAGGTTTCCTCTAACATACTTTATAGTATGCATGTGTTTTAAGACCCTTGGCAAAATGTCAGCTATTGTTTAATTTGTCTACTATGAAAACAAGTACATCACCATATAGTTCTCTCTTCTCTCTTTTTTTTTTTTTTTTCTTGGAGAGGTTTTTGCTATAGGGCACGTGTGCTCAACAGAAAATCAGAGACAAAGAGACAGAAAGCTAGAAATCATCCCCCAGAGGGGATGGCCACACTGCAATCCCTTCTCCTCCATTCTCCTCTTGGGATCTTAGGCATGCACACACACGCTCCCAGCGTGAGTTTAAGTCACTGGGTCCAGGATGGCCACACTGCAATCCCTTCTCCTCCATTCTCCTCTTGGGATCTTAGGCATGCACACACACGCTCCCAGAGTGAGTTTAAGCCACTGGGTCCAGGACTAGAACCACAGTTGACTACATTGGAGTCCAGCGACATAGCCATTACGCTAACTGCTGGTCCCACTATATAGTTCTCTTAATGGTGGTCAATGAAATATGCTCTACTCAAAAGTATGGGTATCATTTCTGACATTTTAATTTAAAATAAAAATAGTCATTTCTCCCATCCTTTGTGTACATTTGGCTAAGGAAGAAATCATGACACTAATTTCTAGAAAATATCTTCTGCCTGTCACTCTTCTATTGATTTTTATTTTCCACTTTAGAGACATGCCAGCTTTGTCCTTTTTTACTTATGTCTGAGGTTGTCCTCTGGCTGGTTTATTGTCTATACCTTTTAAGTTTGATAGAAATGATGTCCAA